AAAAGGAACCCCCAAATTATGAAAGTCAGAGCCCTTGTGCCCCTCCAAGGAGGAAAGGTGATGGGGAGAGGGGAGAGGGAGAAATCTTTGTTGGAAATGTAAACAGATCCTCTCCGGGAAGAGAAGAGATAAGCCTCTAGGCTTGCAACCCCTGAAATGTAAATGAATACCTCAGAGAGAGATGCACCTAAATCTCTCCAGAGATCTCTGTCTTTACAGTTGGATTGTTATTCAATCATCCTTTAATCCAGATGTAGTACTGTTTGCTCAGAAAGCCCTGACCATGCAGAAACATGAATATATTCATGAAGCACAGTGCATGAGAAGGAAGAATGGTAAAGGATGAGGTCAGATAGGCAGACAGGAGCCAAACAGTATGGAGCCTTTGGAACAAAGTAAAGACTTTGGAATTTATTCTGAGTATGATGGTAATTGTTCAGGTGACTGTTACCAGGAGCATGGCATGATCTGATCCAGGTTTTATTGATCACTCTACTTGCTGTGAGAGGAATAGATGGGGAGTGGGGTGAGAGTAGAAGCAAGGAGACCAATAAGGATGCTCCTGCTGTCTTTGGGCTCAGTATGATGGCTGATTTCCTGCACAGAGTAGTAATGGTAAAAAAGGGACAGAGGTGGGCATAGTAGGGCTTTATGTTGAAGAAAAAGCTGATGTGCTGGATGAGGGATGTGTGGGGGTGGGGGTAGAAGGAGAAGTATTGTTAATTCTCAGGTGTGTTATTGCCTAAGGTTTTTTTGTTTGTTTGAGCAACTGGTAGTGCCATTTACTTAGAGGGAAAGACTTGGCAAGAGTAAAGGCAGGCAGTTGAGAAATAGTAAGTCAAAGGTCTTCTTTTGCATATTCTGTCTGACGTGCCGTATCACCAGCAGGAAACAGATGACACATGAAGGTTGAATGTTTACAGAGATGTGAATGGTGTTAAGGGAACAAACACAGCACCCAAGGGCTAGCAACAATGGGAAGCCTTAAGGGGCAAGGGAAGGAGAACATTACTGGATACGGTGGAGCTGTAGCCTTGGGAGAGGGCCCACATAACATGAGCGGAATTAGGTAGAAAACAGGACCACTGACAAAATCACAGCTGAACAGGAAGGGAGCTAAAGTAGTCATTTATCTGCCCTCTATATCTTTCTGCTTTTTCATATCCTGCTGGTGCTTCCCTCTGGCTGAATCCAACCAGATGCCGGAGGGCTTGAGTGCCCCCAGTGATGTGATTGGTAGAAAGCAGGGCACAGACTCCAGGCAGGGCCACACAGGGATGAATCCGAGGGACAAGTAGAAAAAGCAGCACCGATTCCTCTACTACTCTTTACTGGGGTCTTTAAGGAAAGAGAGAGCTAAGGGCAGAAATGGTTTGGAAGTCATCAGCATTTCAGTGGTTTATGTTGCAGGTTAAGAGCTAATATTTGTTGGGCGCCTGGGTGGCTCAGTTGGTTAGGCGACTGCCTTCGGCTCAGGTCATGATCCTGGAGTCCCTGGATCGAGTCCCACATCAGGCTTCCTGCTCGGCAGGGAGTCTGCTTCTCCCTCTGACCCTCCCCTCTCTCATGTGCTCTCTCTCATTCTCTCTCTCTCAAATAAATAAATAAAATCTTTAAAAAAATAAAAAATAAAAAGAGCTAATATTTGTTAAGCTCTTACTTTGTGCTAGGCACTCCATCAACATTTCACATGCATCTTCCAATTTAATTCTCAAAACAAACCTAGAGGTTAAATATCATTACCTGAGTAATGATGTATTACCTGAGTAATGGTATTTAACCTCTAGGTTTGTTTTGAGAATTAAATGAGGCAATTGACACACAGTGAAGTGAAGCAATTTGTTTAAGGTCACACAGCTATCAGGTAGCAGATCCAAGAATTAAGTCCCAGACGTTTCTATTCCCAGGGCCAGAGATAGCAATCATCACTGCACGTAGCTTTTCTGAGAGAATCAAATACTGGAGCAATGACATATTGGGTCACATGGGTTTTTTTTCTTATAAGACTCTTCCCTCTTTTACATTTTTTTTTCCACTTCTTTGGAAGAAAACAATCCTGACAAGAATTCATCAAAGAAGGTATTCCAAATTTTAACATCCTGGTTTGGGTATTGCTTTTGATTAAGGCTATTTGCAGACTAGAATATTAGTAACCCACATATGCCCTGTACCACAAAAAGAGTAGATTCACTTTTATCTTGGGAACAAAGCGAGATAGAAAAGATTTTTTTAACTTTTCTTAATTCATGAAACATTTATCTTCAAGTCAGGTTTTGTTACAGCAGCACAAATGTGGTCCGTCAGCATTTCCATTATAGCCCCATATTTCCAGGGCTTTTCAAGAGTGCCTTAGAGATTCCACTTTGAATTAAAACTTGGCATTCAGGATTTGAATCAGAAAACTCCATTTTCCTTAACAGTTAATCAAAGAGTTTAGAGATTCTCACATTAGAAGAGCACCAAATGTAAAACTTTTATAATGCAAAAAAATTTCACTAATTTAAATATATATATTTTAAATATTAACACTCACTATGCAGGTGTAATATTATACAACTATATATGATGTTAATTCTAAAAGAAAATTAACTATAAAAGTTCCTAAGATAATACATGAAAGCTTATAACATCTTACACTTTGCCTTTTGGGTTTTGTAAGTAATTTATTTCTACTTTGGTAATTTAGAGGATTTGAAGTTCTCAGCATAATTGTTTTAAAGTTGTAGCAGTGTCAAGATTGTGAACCAGAATAACATGGGTAGGGGAGATCCTGAAAGAGTGCCAAAGTATTTCAACATATTTTTGTGAAATTTAAATTCCTGTGGGGAAATTTTGCATACTGTGAAAAGGGATTAACAGCATGCATTAGTTCTGTAAATAAATATTTGAAATTTAACTTGCTGAACACAATGGCAATAGTAAGGACTCAATAGAGCCTAGTTATAAAACCTTTCCAACTTTGCTTAGTTCCAAACTATTCCATGAATGTCCTATAACAATGAGGAGACATGCTGACAATACTCTATCTTTCCGATCTCATTTTGTAATCTTTTATGCAATCTTTCCTCCAGCCGTAATGGTTTAGGACTAAGTAATCAGAGTAGATGAAGCCTTTTAGCAAGCCTACTCTACTTCTGATTTACTTCTGTCCATCCACATTGGTTTCCTTGCTATTGCAGAAACACACCAGGTAAACGCCTATCTTTGAGACATTTGCTCTACCTTTTCTTTCTTCCTGGAATGCTTTTTTTCCAGATGTCTCCTTGGCTTGCTTCAATCCTTGTTCAAACCTTACTTGTTGTGTGTGGTCAAACCATATCATTCTACTTGATAATTTGGTTTGCCCTTAGCCCCTCAATCCCAAAACTCATAATACCCCTTACCCTGTCTGACTTTTCTTCTTTTCACAATACCTAGGATCTTCTAACACACTTTATACCTTTCTAAAATATCTATTTCCACCCTCTCCCCTTATAAAGTAAGGTTGATGAAGACACAGTTCTTTGTTTTATTCACTGACAGATCCTAAGCACCTAGAATTGTGCCTGACATAGATTAATTGCTCAAAAATATTTGTTGAATGAATACATTGTTGAATTAAATCTGAATTTTAACCCATAACAAGAATCTACATCCAGATACAACTCTGGTTCTTCTACAAAATTTGTGTTATTTCCCTAAGATAATTAAGAATGCCCTTTGAACATTGGTTTCAAAATGAAACTCCCCACATTTAAAGCCCCTGTGTAATGTGTTATGAGCCCAGTTTGCTTGAAATAATTTAAACTGAAGTTTGGAAACTTTTGTAGTTAATTTTAATTTTAATTATTATTTGGAAAAGATGACCAGAATGGGTAGATGTGAAATATAGTTTTCATAAAACAAATGCTTAGTTTTTGTTAAAAGTGTTTTATAACATTTTTATACATATAATGATATTAATGCCAAACTGTGGAAACTCAGGAATTAAAACATGATCTCATAATCTAAAACAAACAAAAAAAGAACCCCACATCCCCAGTAGTAATGGCAATGATGTGCTGAAAACAAGCACCCTCTATAAGGGCTTCACTACTTGGCCCCATGGCTTGAAAACTATGCTAATTGCAAGCCGGAGTCATATAGTGAAATTTCACCACCAGCTCAATAGCATAAAAGTGACGATACTAGAGTTCCATTGCACAGACAAGCACTAATGACACACTTACGAACATAGCCTGGACTGATTCTGAGTGGTAGCTGATAGCAAAAGCTAGTATTTTCAATCATGAGACTGTATTAACTTTATTATTGGACTAAAGCAATACTTTTTTTGGGGGGGTAGTATAAGCAGTTTATTTGGTTGCTATCCCAGGAAGTAGAAGTGAAGAAGCAAGGAGTGAGCTAAAGAAGAGAGCAAGACCCAATAAAGGATACATTCCTGATCCAGTTACCCTATGGGCAACTAAGGCTAAATCCTGCTGAGGATTCTCTGATGAATAATTGTAGAACACACAGTCTTAGAAGCATTCCTTTAAACAGCACTGTCCAATAGGACTTTCTTGATGATGGAAATGTTCTATGTCCACATTGTCTGCTATAATAGCCACCTGGAATATGGCTAGTATGACTGAGGAATTGAGTTTTTAATTTTATTTAATTTTAATTAATTTAAGTGTAAATAGTCATATAAATGGCTGGCTAGTGACTACTCGATTGGACAGCTCAGATCTAAAGGATCAAAGTTCCAGGCATTAATCACTAATTCCCATCCCACATTTGTCAAGGTATATGGAGGAAGGGGTATAACTCTGTCATACTTCCAACCTAGTCTGCATGGAGGCTAAGATATCTGCCACGGTTGGGGAGAAATCCCTGAGGAAGAAAAGTTGAGAGGAACACTGTCTTGGTATAAGGAAACTTAATGCAATACTTTAAAACAAATAAAATTAATTACCTTTTGATTTCTTTCACACATTGAATGGCATTTATTTGATTTTATTTCTGCTTTGTCTTCCTAGGGTAACTGTGAGCAGTCACTTTATGGTCACATGCATTCTATCAATGATGCCACCTTCACTCCTAGGGTGAGTTCAGTTCTCCCAATAAATACTTTTAATATTTCATATATACAAGTTAATTTTATTGAAACAAAGTACCAGGAGAAAATGGTAAGTTAACAGGGCAAGGAGAACAAATTCTGGAATTAATTTAT